TGAAAGCCTATGGTTCGAAAAAACGTTGGTGAAACTTTTGTAAGAAGGATTACACACTCACCTCTAACCTAGAGAGAAAATTTTCAAATGAAATTGTTTTGATTGAAAACCGAGTTTTAAGTATGCTATTCGACCCAGTTTTGTCTGCCGATCTCAAATATATTATTATTTTTGCTAAAAAATATATGGGAAGTGAGAAAGGGGCAAAATAAGTGAAGTAACGAAGGTTTTATGTACTGCCCGTATATATATACGGGCCCCGTCACCAAAGGGTTAAAAAAAGGTGATGGTCTTATGGAGAATCACCGATTCCTTCAGGGAACACCTGAAGTTCTTTTGAAAAAACACCGATGTCTTTAGGAAAAGCCTGAACTTCTTGTGGAGAAAACCCGATTTCTTCACGAAAAAGCTGAAGTTCTAGTGGAGAAACCCCTTATTGCTTCAGGAAAAAACATGGAGTTCTTGTGGAGTAAACCCGATGTCTTCAGGTAATAAAATGAACTTATGGTGGAGTGACCTGAATATCTTAAGGAAAAAACCTAAACTTCTGGTGTAAACCGGATTTCTTCAGGAAAAAACCTGAACTTTGTTTGGTGAAAAACTGATTTCCTTATTTAAATTATATAAAGTCATGAAAATTTGCATTTAATTTTATATGAATTAAATATGAATTACGTTTTTATATGAATTACTGCTTCATGTAAATATTAACATTTTTTTACATATTGAGGAATATTAGTTGAACTTTCCTATGTCAAATCGTTTTGATTCAGGCTTAGAGTTTTACAAAATTTCATAAAATCTAGATCAATGTTATTCTCACCCTTAAGAAACATTTATAGAGTTATGTATAAATAAAAACTAATTCTAAAAATTTCTTTTAACACCGTCACATAGTGATTTTATAAGAAATTATTGGAGAAATTAGACAAAAATCAAATATTATGTCTAATTTAAATAAAGTTTTTGTATTCTATGAAAACTTGACAAAATTTGTAGACATTAAGCCAAATTTTAACATAATGGCTCTTTTCGTAAAGCATAAGCGATCTAAAAAGATAGCATAAATGGTAGAATAAACCGTTAGAAGTTTGACAAGACAAAGAAAGAATTACATAAAATTTTATAGAATTTTACAAAATTTCACAAAATCTAGACTAATGTTATTAGTCTACAACTTATAGCTTTGAAAAAATACCTGGAAATAATATCGTAAAATTATTGTAAAGCATAATCGAATTATTGTAAAATATAATTAAATTATTATAAATTTATCAGCATGTATAATAGGAGATATATTAAAATGGCTAAAAAGCTCAGCTATTAATGATTGTTTTGGGTATTGATTTATATCTTTAGTGTTTCTAATAATAAAGCCAGCGTCGAACCATTTTAGGCCATGCATCGGATATGCCACATTTAAATGATGTAGTATACCCAATGCGACGAGCTCTATCGATTGGCTGTTTCGCATTTTAATTTTGGGGATCTTTTGAGTGTTAGTGGGTGTTCTTACGTTTTACAAATATGCATAATGCATATTGCACGAATATGTTTTAGAAAAATCGAACTTAAATGGTCGGTCGCAACCTGTTACGAGGACAGTCACAACCTCTTAAGAGGACGGCTGTATTTTTGCAACCAGTTTTTCTAAGATCAGTTTTTAGGTTACAAAGTTTTCCGGTATTTTGCATCGAATGGTATTTTATCCTCCATTGATCTTTTAAAAATAATAATGGACGATCCAATTAGGAAGAATGCCACACGAACAATGCATTACTTGATCAACAGTATCATAAGGCATACAAATGAATGCCGTCGATTTAAAAAATGTTTTATATGAAATACAGATGAATAAGTTTCATTTTTAGTTTTCCGAAATAAAACACAGTAGTAGCAAATCGTTTCTAAGCAAATTTCCCGCTGATTTTTATTGACCTATCTTGATCAGTATAGGGAGTTTCACCTTTTAGTACCGAAAGTACCACCCTGACAACGTTTTCTATTGCCACGAATACAGTTTTTGTCGTTCGACCTTGATGTTGTATATATTCACAGTTATTCGAAATTTTTGGAGAAGTTTGGCAAATTCTAGCAAAATTTGGCTGTTCATGCTGAGAATGTAACCGTACAATGGCTATGCCGTTCACTCACAAATACTAAGTTTTTTTCTCTATATAGAGAATAAAGCCACTATAGAAAAACCTTTTTAACATTCTGCGCATATAACTCCAACATTTTCAGATGTAAATTCTGCTGTTTTAAAAGAAATGATTGTCATTTATTTTTTCATTGACACTATCTGTCAACATGGCAAATACATTACGACGGACACAAGAACCAGTTTGTCTATTGATTCTTTTTACTAGCGTCGAATTCGAATGATTAACGGATTCTTTGAAGATCGAAGTAAAGACATCGATCCTGGATCTGAACTCCATGCGTTTTCCGTGGAAAAGATGAACCAAAGCATGTAATGGTAAGTCGAGCAGGCCAAGTGCATGGACGATATGTGGTATTTAATTGTGTGAATAACTGGAGACTTTTCGGTGGAACAATAGTTTTAGAGTTCCGACTGTTACAAATTATCCAGATACACATATTACCATAGTTTATTTCATGGATAGAACACCGCTACTGGATATTTTTATGTGCGTCCAACAAGATATTTAATTAAATTTTTCAGTGCAACAATACATTTAAATGTCTTTCGTATTAAAAGTCTCTTCAAATGCATTTTTAAAATAAATCAGGTTTTTTATTCTACACGTTGTTTAAATGTATTTAGTAATAAAAAGACCAATAGATTTCGGCTAAAAATGCATTCAAACGGATTAATAAAAACAATGCATTTAAATATATTTATTGTAAAAATGCATTTGAAGAGATTCAGACTACGAAAGACATTTAAATACATTTCTAAAATAAGTAAGATAAACAGATTTCTTTTTAATATGAATTTAGATGAGTCTTTTAAAAACATTTCTTCAAATGTCTTGCATATCCCAAATGTTTATAAATATATTAGGCAACCAAATAAAAAAACCCGGCACATTTCTTTAAAAATTGCACAATGGGCAGTTACACGGTGGAAAATTTGTTGTTCAATAGTACTAAACAATCGCCTTATTTAACAAAAGTATGGAAACGATTTTATAGTGACAAACGGACGTTTCGATTAAGAAGAAGTCGATTGTATGACACAAGCTCAGCTACTGTGACCGTCCACAAAAACACGAGAGGTCAACTAATATTACATGTTGATAAATTATTTCCACCTCATCATCGAATAACGATCGGACCCGTTAAAATTCAGCTACACACACATTTTGGTGAAAAAGGGTATCAACTCAGTGAAAATGATATTAAAATGAACGATTCGGATAACAATTCATTATTATTAATGCGTCGAACAACTAATGGAGCAAAACTAGATATGAACCTCTTTGTCGTTTTCCGATTTTCGTGATTTTTACCTTTTAGACTACTTTAGAGATCTTGAGCTTTTCTCAAGATTTCTTCAAACTTAACATATATAGAAAGTAGCTTGATTCGATAGACAATGAAAATCCGTATCGAGTAGACTATTTTAGAGATTTTTATCATGGGACATTACTAAAGAGAAGATCAAACATACTTTAAAGCATTTTCACAATGATCGATAAAGTACAACATTTTGAGCTTTTCTCATGATTTCATCAAACATAACACATAATAAATGTAGCTTGATTGGATAGACAATGAAAATCTGCATCGAGTAGACTAGTTTAGAGATTTCTACTGAGTGACACTACTAAACAGGAGATTGAAAATACCTTAAAGCATGTTCATGATGAACGATAAATAACGAGATTTTGAGCTTTTCTCAAGATTTCGTCAAACATAACACATATTGAATGTAGCTTGATTTAATGGGCAATGAGAACCTGCATCGAGAAGACTACCTTCGGGATTTTTACCATGGGTCACTACTAAACAGAAGATGACAAACACTTTAAAGCATTTTCGCTGTGAACGATACATAACAAGATTCTGAACTTTTCTCGAGATTTCGTCAAACATAACAGATATTGAAGGTAGCTTGATTCGATAGACAAATAAATGTTGTACAGAGTGGAGTATTTTCAAGATTTTTACCATATGACATTACTAAACAGGACATCAAAGATACTTTAAAGCATTTTCACAATGACCGATAAATAACAGGATTTTGAGCTTTTCGCAAGATTTCTGCAAACATAGCAGATATTGAATGTAGCTTGATTCGATGGACAATGAAAATCTGCATTGAGTAGACTATTTTCGAGGTTTTCACCATGTGTCATTACTAAACAGGAGATCAAAGATACTTTAAAGCATTTTCAGTAGTAATCGAAAAAAAAAACATTCCGAGCTTTTCTCAAGATTTCGCCAAACATCACAGATATTGAAAGTAGGTTCACTGTTTTGAAGATTTTCCCATGTGACATTACGAAACAGGAGACCAAAAATACTTTAAGTAGTAGTAGTTTTTGCAATTACTGCAATTCCCTTTTCTTATCTGTAAGTCGTAACGTATTGTTTCCCTGTTTGTCTGAGAACTAGACTTTGTACGATGTATCAGCAGACACTAAATCGAAAATAAATTCTCAGAAGCGTCGGAATGCTCATTCGGAGAGAAAACAATTTCTTGATCATTTAAGTGAAGAAGCGGCAGCTGATACTAATCCACCAGCGAAAAAGCAGCGATACTCATTAGGAAATCGTCGAACGAAAGACAATACATCAATATTAGAAGACACTTTAGACGATGATTTCATAATGACATCCACGGTACGGGGTTCGGCACGGATACATATATCGGCGGTCCGTTCCAAAGCACTCAAGAATAAAATTATGGTCGAATCATCCGACAGTGACTACGATGATGAGGATGAGAATGCTTGGACGAAGATACCCATAATTGAGAAAACAAAACGATGTCTTTTAACTTAGATTCAAATCTTCCCGACACCAGTAGCTTCACTGTATTCTAATTTTTCCTTAGAACGTACAAAAATTCGATCTCATTACGAAATGTTTTCATACAAATAGTAAATTCAATTCGCATTTCTACAGAATATTATTGATCATTTTCTCTTAAAACTTCTACTCGACATGGAATATAACTACAAAAACATGTAACTTTAATTACTAATGTTTAAAGACAAGATTTTATCAGCTGCATATGCCGGCACATGTGCAGCAGAAAATCGGTAAAGTTATAGAATTTACAAGAAAAGCCCTAAAGGACGGGGTGCAATAAGAACGAGGATCGGCCCCATTTCAGATCATCTCGAAAGGTATCTAGAATGAAAGTATACTGATGGATAATGTATCTGTGTGTTTATCATGAAAGAACTTAGGTTGCGGTCTACATTATATATCAAAAGAAAGCTCTTTCAATACTCTACAAAATGGTTGCTAATTCATTATTAGCTGAAAGTGCGAACACTCATTTTTTCAGATATTACTACTGCAGAGTGATGTTTTCGGCAACGACGAATAGGTTTGATCCATATAAAACCTACCACCATTTCCATCGACCTTTGACGTCAGTGGCAAGACCTGCATCGTATTATAGAGCTCAGCAAGCTGAAGCGAATGGTAAAAATCGCAAATCTCTAGCCTCGTTAGAAAAAAAGTTATAGGCATTTTACTCTCGCAGCGGAAAAATGCATTTTCTGGCGGATTTGGTCTGACTTGTAGAACGTCTGCTGACCACATTCCTTAACGTAGAACCTTGAACTTGATATCAAATGAAACAGCACATCGAGTTCTATATATTTCGATCAAGAAAACTTATGCTAGACCTCAGGGCCCTGATAAACAGATTTCTGAAAAACCCAGTTTTCCAGAAAATCTAGTGACCTTAAAATATCTTTCAGAAGTTTTTCAACCACATTATTCGATAGTTCCTTCAATTCTCCCCGAAATGAGATGTTGGCCATGTTTCTACGATGTTGTGTGCAAGTACCATCGAAAATATGATACAGATCAAAAATTAAGCATTAAAGCG